AGAATGTCACCTGACCCTTACTGACTTGTTGTTCGCATTTTCTACCCTCGTCGCATGTGGTACTTACTCCTTGAACAGAATTTCACACAGAATGTCCTCAAAGCACGATTCCAACCCCCCGGCATCAACACAACATCGAATCGCCGACAACTCTCGCACGGCACGAAAGAAATGAAATAATACACACGACGGAGAGCAACATTCTGAGTTGGGGGGAAACTCCGATTGTGCTGTTTGTTTCGTTTGCGTTTGCCACGGGGTGGCTTAATTCACCGGTCGGTGCAAGCGTTCACAACTTGCGACGGGAAAAAACTAGTCATAACTCAGTCGACAATGCTCAAGGTATAGAGAAAGAGAACAGCTCAACCCTCGGAGCTTCGCGAAGAGCTGCGCCCTCGCCCCCCACCAGCTGAGTACTACACCCAAGGAGCTCGAAGCCGGAAATCCGCCCGTCGAACCCAGTTCTTGGAGGGAAACACTCAGGGAGCAGTGCCACTACCGTGTAGAACTAAATCTGCGAGCTGAGAAGCGCGCCCGCGTGCTCCTTGACCGCGGCTCGCAGCACCTCGTGTACCTGTTGTAGATGTTATGGCACACACTAATGTTTATGAATGGGACAAGGGTTCACCATGGGGGCAAGATGCTCGCGCGTGCTTGCTTTATTCCGTGTTGGGGGCTATAGCTCAAAGTTTGGGATGACCTAGAGGATGGAAAAATGAAGGCAGGTGCTCGAGTGTGTCGGAGATCGCTCGAAGCAAGCAACCCCTGGGCGAAAAACTCAGGAACACAACTGGACAGGGTGACGAATGGCGTGCGTATAATTCCTCCTTCGAGGCCGAAACTCCGACCAGCGTTGTTCAGAGTGCCAACTGGACGCGGCTACACAAGCAACGTAGACGCACCCTTTGCGGCTACTGCTTACGGCGGCTCGAAACACCTCTTTGCAGAAATGGAACCCAACCACACTGCTGTCGGCGTCACGAGAGGGGGCGGGATGCTCCCTCTTCCACCATGACATGTATCATGTACCCTATCGCCGGGCGTTAGGGAGTACCTTGCATCCGTGGTCGCAGGCAGCAAAAGCTTCAACAATGAATACAAGTAAAGAAGGGTATACGCTTCCACAAAAACCTACACACAACCTTGTCAAAACATGCCGACAAGGTGTGCCACCCGGCGACGGCCTGATTCTATCACGATACCCACGGTCCTCGGTTTGGTAAAAAAAAGACAAACAAAACTCGCCATCTCTCGCGGTACAGTACGCAGGACAAAGCCACTACAAGAATTTCCCGAGATTGAGTTATTGGGGTGTGCCTGCAGTACCTGCTGACAGGCGTCCGTGGCGGCTCGAAGAACCTCCTCGAATATCTCGAGGGGCAAACGCGACTCCATCTTGGCGAGGAGGAGCTCATCCTTCTCCGGCAAGACGGCAACCGGGAGGTAGGGGCCGCCGAGAGCTTGCTCCACGTAGTTGAGGTCCTGTCGAAGAGCGTCGAGCAAAGTCAGGAGGTCTGGTGTTCTTGTCGGCTGATTTGGGTGCTGTTGTTGTACCAAGTATTCCCTAAAAAAGCAATTCCGATCTCTCCCTAAGGCTACGCTCGCACACATAGGACAGTTCGTACTGATCACTAGGGACAATCCCTTCTGGTTTGTCGTCTGTGTAATACGGTTGGCGCCTCAGACTCACTTGTGCCTCTTGTTGTGTGCTTTGACTCAATGGGCTGCATAGTATGTAGAGTAACCGGCACGAAAGGAACGGAAGCACGCACATAATCTGGTCGCATCATACCATGACTGGCATGCCGTCGAGGTATCCCGCGGAACACGCTACTACCAGGTCCGACATGGCCACGCCCGCGTCGACAAGGGCCAGCGACGCCGCGTTGATCCCGACGGGCAGCACGCCTCCGTCCGACTGGATCACGTGCAGGTAGATGTCGATCTGAGTCCTGTCGGAGGGGCAAGATTAAGGGATGGGAGTAAACGTGTTGAGCTACGTGACTCATAACAGCCTTGTTACCCTTGGTAGCACCGCCTAAACCACCTCACGTGTAGACTGGGTTTCGAACCCACTACTGTAGAAGCCTAGTCAAACCGTTAAGACTATCTAGTCAGCGCTGACTAGTCTACATTTAAATTTCGGCTCCTATTCTATGGGCCGTGTAGAGCCACCGCGTTCGATTCTGTCACGACCCAGCATACAGCAGTACGGCGGCCTGGAGGATGGGGGCTAGCGTTGGAGTGTATCGTGGTTCCTGGCGAGGTAGTGACGACTCCGGAACCGATTAGATCGTGCACCAAGCTGTGTCCACATGAATGATCGTGATGAGCCTGGGAGCCTTGGGTAGAGGCTAGGAAGAGCAGAGAGGTTTCTGTTGGAGGAATACCGCTTCGCACGTATGGTTAACGCTTGGACAGAATCTCGATCGTAGTTGTATCGGTCCACGCGAAGGAGGAACAGGGCAAGAGTGGTTGCGCGGGAACAGTAGACCGGTACTATCAGAAAAAAACGCTTGAGAACTTGTTGGGTCTACCGTGCTGCTCGTCCTCTCGCTCGATCCCTCCCTCCCGTGCCATGCGTTGCTTTGACTGTAACGAGTGGTGCTGCGTGCACACTTGCACACATTCATGTTCCCCGGAATCGCTCTGCACGGTACCTGGGGTACAGGTGCAGCATGATGGCCCCCTCGAACACTTCCTTGACGGCGAGTGCAATCTCCATGCCTTTCCGATCCGTCTGGAGCAAGCGATGCGATATGGTAGTGCCAGGCATGTCGTCGATAGTCACGCCCCAGAGAGGCGAGCAATTCCGGTGAATACCAGAGGGGGGGAGACGTGACAGATGGCCAAGACACGCATAACACACAGGGACGAACACAACGACCTCGTTCATTTCTCCCAGAAGACAAACTCATCGCTATCTTATGCAAAATTCCTGGAATATTTCCGAGCGACTTCTTCGTAGTGTTTCATGCCATGGCCTTCTTCTCGTTCGCACAGCGGGGCGCTGCCGCTCCTGCGCCCAAGTGGTTAAGAGCGGGACACCAGTGTATGTTCCCTCCATCTTGTTTGGTAGGCCCCCAACCGCCGGTAATGTGTGGATGTATGTCCCTGTCCCATCATATCTGGACGTCAGTGAATACACCTTTCGATGCATTGTCTGGACGCATTTTGCCCGGGGTCGCACAAGAAGAAGGCCGCAGGGACGGACCACCTTCCCTCTACGGTGCCAGCCTTCGACATTTTCTGAGCAGAGACCGGCACGATTTGAAACGTCAAGACGGCAACACCACCCCAACAACCTGTTCTTGAGTGACGACGGGTTCCGTGCTTGCTTGCTCTTACCGGACGTCGCTTTTTCCGCTCGCTGCCGCTGAAGGGGGCCACGTTGTACTCGCAGTTCACGATCCCCGTGTCATACTTGCGGTCTTGTCTGGGGGGGGGAGAGGGGTGGAGCCGGGATCGGGAGCCGATCATCAAAGGCGAAACCGGCGGTTACAAAATGGATGACAGCGGATGGGTGTCGAGGGTGGTCTATTTGTTATCAACAACGTACATCAAAACAAATATCTACACTACTGCGCTTCAATACTCGGAGGGCTGCTTCCATGGAGTTGGGACAGAAGATTGGTGGGGCTGGGCTGACGGGGGGGGGGGCG